TTATTTCATGTTAGTGGTGATTACTGATACTGTGTATCGACTTATGTTTTTGCTGTATGTGATAGGCGAACTATTTCAAAATTTACTGTAATTGTTTTGTTACGAAAGATTATCAGCAGACTACCCCTGTCTGTGACATCACATCCGGTGACCTTTGCACTTATTGAAATTGTGCTGTCAGAATTCACGATCTTTATTTTCGTTTTTCTCTCATCATATTAATCGGAATATGACAAATAAAACATTCTTCGATTGAGAAGATCGTCAACTTTCGCCAAGTTATATTTATAAAGACAATGTAAACTTTATTGATATTAAAATAGCAATAAGTTATGCGGAGGTCGGGCGAAGCGCGCCATGTTTGATTTTAAGACGTCTGCTAGCATCATGACAAAACGGTTGAAATTAGGATTAGTGAATATTTATAAGTCATTAATTGTTTCCTGCAAGTTTTATAACATGACACGTCAGATTAACCCGAATATTCGTATTTCTGCAACCGACATGATGACCTCGAAAATTAAGTTATTTTTCTGTTTAACGTTTAGATAATAAATTTACTGAAATGGTTCATGATTTACCATCGCGCTGTTATATGCCGATAAAAAAAAACGAATTTTTACTCAATTAAAATTAGGATATCGGAGATATGATTATTGAAATCAATTTGCACAAATGTTACGATATTAAAATTTTCCTAGCATGAAATGCAAACCACCTTCAATAACACAATTCAGGTAAGTTCAAGAAAATTTACAAATTTTGTGTTCGCTTTGATTGAAAACACCGGGATATTTTTATATAGTATTGTGTAGTTTTCTATCAGGAATAAATGTGCAAAATATTTCTTCAATTGGCCCTTGTTTAATGAGGCACCGACTGTTTGAAATCACCCACCCTCTTTACAGTGCCTTATGCTAAAATTAATCCAGCAGGCAGGGTAAGAAGTGTGAAAATAATTCAGCAGGCTAAAGGCTAAACGTTCCAGGTATGCAAAACATGTGCCTCATAAAATTCCCCTCATGAATGCATCTCATACGGCAAAGAGAGTTGAGTGGTGCAATGACATGAAAGGAAAGAACTTTCACAGATGAACCAGAGTTCCACTTCTTTTGGATTCCAAGAAAAAGACAGCCAAGGGATGGAAAGTGTTAAAAAATGGTTCCTAAGTTCTCAGTGGGCATCCTAGATTCAAATAACACCCAAAGTGTAATTCCCTTTCAACCTCAACATGTTAACACCTCTTTTTACACCTTGCAATTCACCCTTACCTGGCTTCACAGCAAAAAACATAATATTGAAATTTCTTTGCAGCTTCGCCAGATCTAAACCCAATTGAAAATGACAGTTTGATAGACAGCATGGAGCATCATATCCAACAGTGTCTGGACAGTAATGCAGCAGTTACTGACTAGTGATGATATTTTAAATAACTTATAAGACAATAGTTGTATACAAGCGTGTGCAAAATCTGAGAACAAAATTTGTATTATTGATTAAATTATTGAATCTTGAAACTGTCACATTTATTCTGCCCATTGCTATACAACATGAGTATTTGTAGGAATATCACAAGGACTGAAGCTATCACTGCTGGAATCTATGTCAACTATTTGAACAGCACACAAATATTTACTCCAGATCCAAGTAGGTGTGGTTTCTTGGATGTATGTCCCCCTCACAAGCTTGTTCACTCCAATGTGTCTGAGACAGATTTGACCTTTCCTGGCAAGCATGATCATGAGCAGATGTGTTGTGGGTGCCGGCAAACAAAGGACGCCTGGGAGGAACATCCCAGCCCACAGTGAGACAGGGAAGTGTGATGCAGGTCCATACAGCCAAATGATTCCACATCATACAGGCATCCCGTAAAACAACACACAACACAGGACATCAGCATGATCAGTGGGGATCTACCCCAGAGCAGCTACACATTTCTGTGTAAGACATTGTCTCTATATAATAAACTAAGATTGAACTGGATAATGAAACATGTGAGTAGAAGAGGTTACAAGGAAGATTGTTGCTCAATTCACAAAACTGCAATTAGCTTAGGCTAGACTTTTCTCCATCATCAATGTATAGGTTCGATCACCTATAGAGCTAATGATCAAAATATAGTGTCTTATCTACATGTGGTCATTTAACATCAACAAGGTTTACAGTTTTTCCTGGCAATAAATCTACCAGATACAAATAGAGTCAAACTATCAGACTACTGACAGGGACCTGGGCCCACTTGCATAAAGTGACCTTTGCGCTACAACTATCATATGCCTATGTTAAGGTAAGGAAGTAACGATAACCTTAACACTAAGAGCTCTTTGTGCAAGTGCACCCTGGAGAAGTAGCCCCAATAGGTGGATGTTTTATTGATGTGTCCCTGTGGTAGATGATGCATAGGAATTGCTTCTGCTCTGATAACACCGGAGGTGAAGATACACCGTACATCATTTAAAAATTGTCTGTGCCAACACCAGGTAGAGAAACAGATTGAAATCTGATGACAATGAAAGTAGAGACAGCCCTGCAGACACATGTCTTCCATAATGTGGACAAATGATGACAGAGCGCCCCTACTACATCACTTCCAGCACCTCTAGGCTGGTGTCTGCAGTGGCAGTTCAGTATGATGGTACTAACACGGTCATCACTCCCTACAATAAGGTTCACTTGACCATAACCATTTACACGCCATCCCAAAGTTCCTACATCACAATATCATAATTAGTAAAGATTATTAAACACTTGTTTGCTGACTGAGATGAAATATACCATGTATACCAGCATATCTCAGGGTATTCACTGGAAGGAAGACATACATCCAATCATGCATGAGCTTCAGTCTGGAAATGTTTGCATGTCATTTTATCAATCTGGTTACAAACTCTGACCTAGACCTCTTCCCTACAAAGCTCTATGGATCAGAGTGTGTGATAACACAGCTTAGCTGATCCTGGCCTGACCCACAAATCAATGGTTTTGACTACTCACAGTATCAACATGATTAAATCTGTCTCTACCACATATTATCTTGGTCCAAGCAAACCCCTCATAACCCGTGTAGTATTATCTGTTGAAGCAGACCATTTGGATATTGTATGACCATGGCTCAAGCAACTTCAATAGAGCAGTTTTACACCTGTATTAATACCTGAATAAATAAAGGAATACAGCTTTGCTTAGTTCCAACATATTGCTCACACTATTCCTGCATGACACACTCAGTCCTGATCTCACACGCCACTGTCACACAGTTGTCACACACCCCTGTCACACATTGCTCTCACATACCATTGTCGCACACCACTGTCACACACTGTTGTCACACCCAATGTCACAAGCCCCATTACACTCTGCTGTCACACACCTGTCACACACACTGTCACACACTGCTGTCACATACCGCACACCAATGTCAAATTCTTGTCACACTGCGGTCACAAACCACTGTCACACAGTCACACACTGCTGTCCCACACCGCACACCAATGTAAAACTCTTGTCACACACTGCTGTCACACACCGCTGTCACAAACCACTGTCACACAGTCACACATCACTGTCACACACAGTCACACACTGCTGTCACATGAGGTGTCACAAACCACTGTCAAACACTGCTGTCACAAATCACTGTCAAACACTGCTGTCACAAACCAGTCACACAGTCACACACCACTGTCACAGTCACACACTGCTGTCACACACCGCACACCACTGTAAAACTCTTCTGTCACACGCTGTCATAAACCACTGTCACACACAGTCACACACTGCTATCACACACTGCTGTCACACACTGTCACACAAACTGTCACAAAACACTGTCAACACTGCTGTGACAAACCACTCACACAGTCACAAACGGTCGTGACACACCAGTGTCACACACTGCTGTCACACACCATTGTCACAAACCACTGTCACAGACAGTCACACACTGCTGTCACAAATCAGTCACACACTGCTGTCACAAACCACTGTCACATACACTGTCACACACTGCTGTCACACACCGCTGTCACACACCGCCACAAACCAGTGTCATATCCTGCTGTCACACACCACACACCACTGTCACACAGTCACAAACCATTGTCATACACTGCTGTCACACACCGCCTGTCACACACCGTTACACACTGCAATCACTGTCACACACAACTTTTACACACCGCTGTCAGTCACATACTGCTGTCACAAACCGCTGTCACACACCACTGTCACACCCTGCTGTCACACGCTTTACACCATTGTCACACACTGCTGTCACAAACCACTGTTACACACTGCTTTCACAAACTGCTGTCACAAACCGCTGTCACACATCACTGTCACACCCTGCTGTCACACACTTTACACCACTTTCACACACTGCAGTCACATACCACTGTCACACACTGTCACACACTGCTATCACTGTCACACACCACTGTCACACACTGTTACACCCTGCTGTCACAGTCACATACTGCAGTCATGCACTGAAGTCACACACCGCCTGTCACTTCCTGCACAAAGCTGTCACACAGGGCTGTCACAAACCACTGTCACACACAGTCACAAACCACTGTCACTACCCCGCAGTCACACACTGTAACGCACTGCTCTGAAGCACTGCTGTCACACACCAATTTCACACACCAATGTCACAGGCCGCTGTCACGCTATGGGTGTCCTGCAGTGTGGTCCTGCTATGGGTGTCATGCATGAACAACTTATCATGTGTATGTGGCGCTAAGACAATTGTCTATGGTAGGCCTGTTTCTTGGGGTAGTCACCATCACAGGAGCTGTTGGGCGAGGCATAAGTAAAGGGAACAACCCTTCTGAAAATGTTTCAATTATGATTCAGACATTGAGTAGAACAATTCTCAGGGATGGCTCTGTCATACCATAATATGATCCATAAACACAAGATTTGTGATGGTCCTGTTGGCCATTCATTGTTTTCAGAGTAATTCTACAGGGAGAAAAAAATAGTCTCAAAGATGTTACCTTTCTCAACAAGGTCCTTGTCTTCTCTGTTTTCACGTAGTTCTCTTATCCTGGTTCTAAGTTTTCGTCTTTCTACAAATTCTGAGGATCTCAATAGCTGAAATAAACACATATCACTGTCAAAACCTTCAAGACAACTCACTTCAGCACATCTCAACCAACCCTACAGAACAAGTCACTACAGGACCACTCACTACAGGACAACTCACTACGGGACAACCAACTACAGGATAATTAACTACAGGACAACCCACTACAGGACAACTCACAACAGGACAACTCACTACAGGACAACCCACTACAGAACAACCAAATACAGGACAGCACACTACAGGACAACTCACTACAGGACAAATCACTACAGGACAACTCACTAGAGGACAACTCATTACAGGACAACTCAATATAGGACAAATCACTACAGGACAACTTATTACAGGACAACTCACTACAGGTCAACTCACTACAGGACAACTCACTACAGGACAACTCACTACAGGACAACTCACTACAGGACAACCCACTACACTGTGTTGAATAGGAGGCCAAATCAGTTGAAAGATTGTTTGTTGGGCAAATATTAGATAACATTTAATCACAGAAATAGCGGTTCTCAAGTGAGGGGTTATTGGCATGGTTCAGGTCCCGGGATTTGACTAAACATTTTATTTAGCAAGCCTTGGCAAAATACATAGTGTTAATTCCTAATAGAGGATATTTACCATCTCAAACTCACAAGCATGATAACTATATCATATGTCATTCTTTAAGTCTGCCTTTGAAATAACCTGTTCTCATCTCTCACAAACATTATCTAAACATCGCCAGTTTTCCTGGAAGTGTGCATTGGTATGTCTTTAGGACCCTATTGTAACAAATAGTTTCCTTTCCACTGATCCTGACTTAGACCTGGAAGACATTAATTACAGTAACAATTAACTTGTTTCCATGTAAACCCTTACTGTTGTAGACAAGTAACAAAGATGTCATCTTGTACTACTTCAAAACGCATATTAAAGAATTAATGATGTAAATGTTTACCTATTTGGTAACCTCAAGAATGCAGACTAGATTTATCTTTCATTAGCTTACCAGGTATTGCAGGTATTCCTCAGATTTGCAGTTTTCTATAACAGAGTCATTTATCACCAAAGCACTTGCAGCGGTCTTCTGTTTTATGTTGTTATCTGCCCCCGGTATAGAGGTGTAGGAGGCACTGCGCCATCGAGGGATGTTGTCACTGCTTCTGGTGAGATCATCAGAGCTGAGTGACACTGACCTGGCACTGCTCACACAAGCACTGCTCACCTCCTGGAGAGGAGTTGCCAACCCCTCTGATGCAAGGTCGGTGAGGGCATTGGAAACACCGTTCCTGAAGTTAACACTGCTCGAGGTCTGTGGTGGAGTTGAATGGATATTTAAAACATTTTTTCTTAACACCACAGAGTTTAATGACTCTCGAATATTGACGAGAATTCTGCTGGCATTACTATGTTTGTCATGTCCTGCTTTGATGATTGGATGGTGCGACTCCACTCTGGAGGTGTGACTAGATACACAGTCTGTGGATGGCCCGACAGAGACTACACTGCTTGGACACAAGATGCTGGCAGATGTAGAGAGATGTGAGCTCCTCAGTTGAGTTACACTGTTACCATCTGCAGAGGATGCAGCATATGATCTGGAATTTGGATTGCTGTTGCTATTTGAGGTAGATGAATGAAAACTCCTCGGCGGCAATACCTCTGTTCTAGTGTCTGTTGTGCCTCCAGAGGAATACCTAGAACTGTATCTATCCACACCGTTTCTCCCCTCTGAGCTTGATAAGTGTCCACTGTGCCTGGGCACTCTATTGCTATCCCCTGATGGTGTCCAGGAATCCCCACTGCTGGACCTAGTTGTGCCATCACTTGAAGATGTACCGCAGTGGTAGCTCCTGCGTTGGGAAATGCTGTTGAAGTTGTCACTGGATGTCCTGTGAAGACCTAGACTGGGTCGAGCTACACCAGTCCCTGCATCCTTATTGTCTAATGCACTTGAGACAAATGGTTTGACAGAGAAACTGTGAGATTTCACTGCCCCATCTTTCAGCTGGCGAATGGCAGCTCGTATCTTTCTCCTCTCTTCAAAACTAGTACAAGCATCCAACTGAAACAGGACAAAATAACACTAGAATAAAATTGCAACAGAATAACTATTTAATAACTCCTGAACATGCTTAATGCACTGTTTATGGTAATCATCCTTAATCAAACTATTTCCCATGGAATCTAAGAATAATAATCCTATGTATTGCCCATAATCAATTGAAATCCAACTTACACTACTGTACCTGTCTCCCCTACTCCCCACTCACATACACCACTGTACCTGTCTCCCCTACTCACATACACCATTGTACCTGTCTCCGTCACTCACATACACCACTGTACCTGTCTCCCCCACTCCCCACTCACATACACTACTGTACCTGTCTCCCCCACTCACATACACCACTGTACCTGTCTCCGCAACTCACATACACCACTGTACCTGTCTCCCCCACTCACATACACCACTGTACCTGTCTCCCCCACTCACATACACCACTGTACCTGTCTCCCCTACTCCCCACTCACATACACCACTGTACCTGTCTCCCCAACTCCCCACTCACATACACTACTGTACCTGTCTCCCCCACTAACATACACCACTGTACCTGTCTCCGCCACTCACATACACCACTGTACCTGTCTCCCCCACTCTCCACTCACATACAACACTGTACCTGTCTCCCCTACTCCCCACTCACATACACCACTGTACCTGTCTCCCCCACTCCCGACTCACATACACCACTGTAACTGTCTCCCCCACTCCCCACTCACATACACCACTGTACCTGTCTCCCCTACTCCCCACTCACATACACCACTGTAGCTGTCTCCCCCACTCCCCACTCACATACACCACTGTACCTGTCTCCCCTACTCCCCACTCACATACACCACTGTAGCTGTCTCCCCCACTCCCCACTCACATACACCACTGTACCTGTCTCCCCTACTCCCCACTCACATACACCACTGTAGCTGTCTCCCCCACTCCCCACTCACATACACCACTGTACCTGTCTCCCCTACTCCCCACTCACATACACCACTGTAGCTGTCTCCCCCACTCCCCACTCACATACACCACTGTACCTGTCTCTCCACTCCCCACTCCCCCAAGTATCCTTTGTGCACTGGGACAAATATGCCTTCATGCTCACGAGTGTATTGTTTCTGTCATCTGGATGGCATTGTCGATGTCATTTAAAACTTACTGTGATGTAACACCACACTAGAAACGATGTCATAGGTGAAGATTGTTGACATCATTCAACAATTGTGGAAATCTACAACAGCAGTCGTGATCAGTGCATTTATTTAAAGGGGAGCTCAAAAGTAGGGCTGCAGTGATACAGGAAGGTCACGATACAATACGTATCTTGATATTCTGGTCACTATACGATACCTTACTCAATACTCAACGATAAAAACAAACAACAGTACTTCAGCATTTATTAAGTTTCAATACTTTAAGCATGTCAAGATTGGACCTTTCATGATTTTGGAACTGTCAAAATTATTTCATAATAACAAGACTACTGAAGTTGTTTAGCTTTCCTTCAAAACACTTCAAATTTCAAAACAACAGAAAACTTCAAAGTTCAAACAGCAGAAAATAATCAATGTACTTCACAGTCTGAATAGTTCAGCTTCAGGTTCTTTTTCAGAAAAATTAAAATGTAAACCTTGTAAAGTGATAGTCACAGATGGGTACTGTCTCCTGCTGTTGAGGGGCGGTCGGGTAGCCTAGTGGTTAAAGCGTTCGCTCGTCACGCCGAAGACCCGGGTTCGATTCCCGACATGGGTACAATGTGTGAAGCCCATTTCTGGTGTCCCCCGCCGTGATATTGCTGGAATATTGCTAAAAGCGGCGTAAAACCATACTCACTCACTCACTCACTCCTGCTGTTGAGTCTTAACGGAGGTGGAGCCATAGGGGTAGATGACCAACACAACACATGCTCTGCCTACCTAACACGATCTACTATGTACATTTCAGAGTTTCGTAAAAGATTGGAATTGTAGTTGTTTATGATTCATAGTGTGAAAAAAGATTTATCGAGTGTTATGCACTATAAAAAAACACATCGTATCCCTTCCATGAATTCATGTGAACGAACAGGTATAACACACTTGGTAAATAAAACATCACTAAACACGATGATTTGCCATTGAAATTGTATTTTTTCTCTCATAGGCATTGTTTTATATGCAGAGATTAAGATTACCGTGTGTATTTTCTTGTAAACTAAGCTGGAAATAGCAATCAGCTGTACACACATTTCTCCCAATCTACCGGCGATTCAGTTAAAAAGTACCCAATGATAAAACTTGAAAATGGAATGTTGCAATGGTTGGAAGAAAGTGTTTCTGAAATTATTGTTTTATCAGGAATAATATCGTCCAAAATCGTGTTACTTTAGTTGCAGCTTTTACTATATATATTTAAAATTATAAGAACCATAAGCACTGCAGTTTGATACAGGTGATTGCTATGGCAGGACATTTTTACGTATGGAACAATTTGACCAGTCACCGTAGGGATTTTCCGCGCTACATGTATTTCAATTGCGAAAACATTATGTTGACATATAATAGTCAAATTGCCACAAATATGACATTTAACGAAATGTAAAATGTAAGTAAGTTTTGGGAGCCATGCTTAACCCCACGCTATAACTAAGTTAGCGCTTTATTGAAGGGTGCAATAGTGAGGAACACTGTACTTAAGATTAGCATTCCGTATCATGGCGTATCTATAAACAGGCCCACGTGTATTATGTATCATATCATGGGACAAGTATCGCGATGCGTCAGAATATTTAAGATTAAAAAATAATGGGTAATAAAGAAATTAATACATGACACTTGTGTAAATTCATGTATTACCCTCACTTTGCCCAGGAAATGCAAAAATTCTGACACGTTTTGTAAAATCATTATGATACACAATACACATGCTTGTATAATAACCTCTTCCGCCAGGCTTTTTCCCAGAAGAACATACCCCTGGTGCAGGAAGTACATACAGTACGGTATTCCTTGGTATGGGGAAATCAGTCGTCTCAATAGTACACAGTGTACAGCTATCACCAATCACTTTAATAACAAGCCAAACATAAATAACGTATGGACGCATGCACACACGCACACACGTGCGCATATAATATTAGTGCAAAAGTCTTTGGTGCAGCGTTTTTTCACCTTTTTTAAAAAAAAAATGTCATGGAATGGTTGACCATATTGAGGTGGGAAAAGAGCTGGTTAAGAATTCTCTCATTCTCGCAATTATGCTTCTTAAAATAAACAATGGTTCAATGCAATGATTTTCTTCCCCCCACCAACACTTTCACTGCTAAGGAAATCAGGGCATTGTCTACCTGCCTTACTTCAGGGAAAGCAGACTCAGTATGTGTAAAACAAGTTGTCTCCAGTTGTCAGGGGCACACCCATCATCAAGCAGTTCCCCACCTTACAGTCTTGGAGGGCAGGCTAACCTGTGACTACCTGATGTCTTCCAGGTGTAGGACAGGTCATACTCATGGGAATAATGTCGAGGCCATCGGAAGTGAAGTTATAACCAAACGTGACTTCATCAGAAGCAGAGGGGATGTAATAGATGGTCAATGTCTGGAAGGTCGCATGGGACAAAGGCTGCTAGGAATCAATTGAGGATGTCACAATTGGGGAATTGGACACACATGTAGCAGTAATTCTAGGGACAATTACAACATATTTGTATATGTCCTTGACATTATTCCGAAAACAGGCCTTTAGAGGTGATTTCAGGTTATGTGCACCAAATACTGGTCAGAACTAGAATTATTTGTTTGGAACAATATGCACCCCCAAAATACTGGATTTATGGAAAAGACCTAATTTTTCGATAAATCACTGAGTTAGGGTTATTTTCTGTTTAAATTCAGCAGACTGTTTACTGTCTAGTGTATTATCCTTCCCTCGGGTATATTTTGGCACTGATGTAATAGACATTGTGTAGTCATAAGAATTACCAATAATATAGATATATACAGGGGACAAGGGAATGTGGAGCCTCAGACATATCAGGCCACTTGGCAACCCATGCAGACTTTGATTTCCAAGCACTTCATGCATTATCACATTATGTCTATTCAACCAGAATAAGCTTTATAAATAGACCAATATTTAATGGAATAACTCCATTTGTGAATGAAGTGTATGTCCCTCCCAATTGTGGCTCTAAATACAACAGTTAGATGCTGCTGCCCGATGTCTCTGTAGCAAGCATAAAATATCCGAATCCCATGATAGGATTCGAACCACAGACCTGTTCTGAGGTCGGACGCCTTATGCACATGACCAAAGAGGACTACCCCATCAGCAAGCTCACAAGGTAAGGATGTCATTAGCGGGATGACTCCACGCCCTGCTGCATACTCCGTCAACAGAAGGCACTTCTGGGGCCGCATTGGGAGACTTATTTTACTCAAGTTCTATATGATCATGCTCAGCCCCACATCGGGTGCCACTGTAGCAGTCATAAAATGTCCGAGTCCAGTGATAGGATTTGAACCTTGGTCCTTTTGATCTGAGGTCAGACGCCTTGTCCACATGACCAAAGAGGTCAACCCCGTCAACAAGCTGACTAGGTGGGATGACTCCACACCCTGCTTCATCTCCATCATGGTCTACAGAGTGACCTCCCTTTCCCAAGCCCACACAGACAGCAACAGCAGCCACTGTTGTTGCAATACAGGGAGAGAGAGAGAATAATGTTTATTATAGTGTCACATGATATATACACTTCATACTAAAACACGTACACAAACAATACAATATAACATCCGACCAGGTATGGCCTACGAGACACTTAGACATAAAAGCAAATTATAACGTCATGATCTGGATAAGGTAGATAAACACATATTCTAACACAATGTTTAAAGTTAAGATTGGGTTATGAACACGCATGCACGCACACGCAGACACACACGCCAAATTACTTATAAAGTCATGCACACAATCATACACAAACACTTAAACACTGACACACCCACCCAAACCCCACCA